AAAAAAAAAAAAAAAAAAAAAAAAAAAAAAAAAAAAAATTACATGAATGAGAAAACTTTCTTTAAAATAAAGCAAACTCTGTCATTTAATTTTTTAAAATTTATTTCAAAGCAACAGCATTAATCAAGTATTCCACATTCACTCAGCTCAGTAGTAACTGTTGGATGAGTGAAAGTGCAGGAAATTATAATTTTCCATTTATATTAAAAGCAGATTGATCAGATTGACCCTTACAATACCTTCTTGTTCATGTGTATTTCTTTACTTGGATTCTATTTTTAGAAAGTATGCATAAAACATTAAATATGATTTAGTTTCATATTAGAAAACCTTCCCTTAAATTTTCACAGTTGCTTATGAAGTTATTAGGTGAATTGTTGCAGATGCCGTGAATTTGGAGAATATTTTCAATTTTTAGTGTGGAAAACAGCACAGTACCTAAATCATAGTAACTTACATTTTTCTAGTTAAGTAAAAATATCTCACAGGTATTATGTATGCTGCATGAACAAATGTGCATATTTAACTATAACTGGATTTCTAAGTTTAATTTTAAATCACTCATAAAAGATTGTTTCCTTTTACGATCAAATGATCACAAGCAGAAAGTTCCAAGCTTGATCCCTGGTACAAAGAAAAAAAAGAAAAGTTTTTTAAAAAAATCAAATGATCTATGTCTTTATTTTTTTGGTACCGGGGATCGAATGCAGATGATCTATGTCAGCTGGATTTTTGATCCCCGGTACAAGAAATAAATAAATGGTCAAGTCCCTCCATCATTGTTGAAGAATTCCAGTCCAAAAGGGTGGCCTCGCTGTTTGGAGTACACTCCAGACTTCAGGCTTTCCTCAAACTTGCAGTCATCCTCCTGCCTTAAGATTATAGGCATATGCCGTCATACCTGGCCCCACTCTGTCTTCAGTTTCCTTTTCCTATTTGTCTCATGTCAATTTCCCGTTTTCTCAGTTTTCTTTTCTCTGTAGAGCCCAGGGTTTTATGCAGGAGAGGAATAGATGGGCCTTCACAGGAGCTAGGTGGCTCAAAATAATGTCTGTTGAGAGCAACTGGGATCTGTACAACTCGATTTCCTCTAGGAATGAATGTACTCCAGACAGCAAGACCACCCCTTTTGGACTGGAATTCTTCAACAATTATGGAGGAACTTGACCATTTATTTATTTATTTCTTGTACTGGGGATCGACTCAGGACCTTGCGGTTGATTGCAAGGCAGGTACAGCACCACTGAGCTAAATCCCCGGTGTCCTTGACCATATTTTTAGAATCAAAATATTTTATTCAATTTAACAACAAAAAATACATATAAAGAAAAATGTTTCCCAACCAATTTTGCATTCCTGTCCTTTGCTCACATCTATTCCAGAGGCTAAAAAAATTATTCTTTTTATCTTGTTGCATCACAGAGATGGTCATGTGACATCTCAGCAGTGAAACAGAATGAGGCATCTGGGAAGATTGCTGGGAAAAATGCTTTCCTGATAAAAGGGACAGATGTTACTACTCCCTGTTCCAGCCTTTTTCCTGATTTCTATACAGCACATATCTGAAGTTGTGCTAATCAGTTTATGAACATAAAGGGTAGGTGAAAACCTGATCAGAAATGTGTTGAGTGTTAAAATAGTGCCGTCAGATTGCAGTCTTCTGTCTTCCTGATCTAGAGAAAAGTGTCCCCGTATTTGATTAATGTACTTTTAGCTGCTGGCACTACAGGCGTACCAGTGATGATCTGGAGGTGAAAAGGAACAAGAATGGGTGACCTGCTGTATTAGACTTTGGAACCCAAGGACCAACAACCAGATTTAGCTGGTTAAAAATTGGAGTAGTAGCCTGACCCAGGTCCATAAGCACCAAACCCAGTGATGAGGTCTTTGGAAAGGAGAGGGTGATACATATCATAAGTGGAATGTAGACCCGGGGAACTATTCCTGGCCTTTGGTGAGTAAACGGGTTCCAACCAGGAGCAAACTGCAATCAAGGGGGTGATAATCTACCTTTTCCCCCACCATCCTTGTATTCCCTGGCTGGTTATCCTCAATTATCCAATATTTCCGTCTTAGTCACAGGCGCGTACTTATTCAGTTACCGCCCCACCCCTAGTGGTTCCTAGTGGTTGCCTCAGGCTGAATCAGTAGGCTAAGAAAGCACTTTCAGCAATGATGGACAGGTCATGTGTAAGTCTTCAAACTGGGCCACATGTGGAAGTTCTACAGATACTATTACAGTCTAAGATGGTGATGGCAAACCTTTTAAAGCTTTCAGTGAAACGTGACTGCGGCATGTGTGGCACAGGTTTGCCATGACTAATCTAGGAGAAACTAATAATCCTCCAGGACTTCTGTAAAACCACAGGAGTGTAGAGCTGCACTAGCGAGCCTGCCAATGCCCATTATGGGGATCCAGCTTAATATGACTGTGGCCATCTTGAGCTGTGATTGTTGTGATTGCCTCTGAATAACCCTGGTCTTTTTTCCCTTGAACTCTTTTCTGGGGTATGCCAAGCCTTTAAAATAGTATGTGGGACTTTATGCTTTTATGACTGACTCTGGTGCATGGCTCCAGGAATGTGCCTGAGGTCTTTGATGTTAGTTTCAGATAAACTAGGTACATTCCCAGTTTGAATGAGGGTCACTTCTGTCCTATCCACTTGACTATATAAGGCTTTCCCTCTGACCCAGACTGCAAAGGTCCACTGGTCTTACTGCCATCTCTCACCGTGCTTCTGTTAGTCCCCAATAAATTTGCATTCTGGGAACTTCTGGCTCTTTTTGCCTTGTTCTTTGGTCTTGAGGCATTAGTTTCTGGGATAGTCACAGATCACAGAACTATGGACATAAGTGAGGAAATGTGTGCTGTTTTCATGGAGTGATTAAATGGAGAACTTTTCAACAAAATACTGGACCATTCTCTGAAATCATAAAGACCACTATAAGGACATCTAGTGTCTTGTACTCAAAAAGCATTCTCCCCAGGGATATAAAACTGTGAATCACTCATACCCGCCCCAAAATCTCAGTGTTCTGGCTGGGGATGGTAGTGTGCACCTGTAATCCCAGCACACTAAGAAGTTGAGGCAGGAAGATCACAAGTTTGAGCCCAGCCTGTGCAACTTAGTGGGACCCTGTCTCTGGAAAAATAAACAACAAAAAAATACATGTTCTGAAATTCAAGAAATTTGACCAAAAAGCCTTGAGCTACAACTTCTATTCACTCTTCCCCCAAACTACACTATTAGCTCCAGGGAGTCCAAGAAGGCCTCTTATGGGGTTCTTGAATGTCATTATGTTACTTTCCAGTCTGGCTCTACATTGGCTTCTTTCTAATGTGAAGATGTACAACCAAAGTAGAACACTGAATTTCCTTATCCTAAAATGTTAGAGGAGAGGAAGTCATGCTGTTCACCTGGAACCTGCTAGAAATAGCATTCTCTTAAAGAGTGATCATCACGTGATGTATGAACTAATCCTGGATCACGCAGCTAATAAAAGTCCTGTAGACCAGTACCAAAGTATTGTCTGTGACGGTCCACAGATGGTTTGTTACCAACTCAAGCAAGATAAGTACAGCAATTGAGAGCAAGTGTTGAGAAAGTTTTAATGCATTTGAACACTACTGTGACAACTAGCATGTGATTTTATGTGTTACAGAAGTATTTCATATTCTACAAAAGGTCTGAACATGAAACCCCAGTCATCCACTATAAAATAGCATGAGGACTACCACATGTGGGGAGATAGATGGCCAGAGTTTTGGCTACAATGTGAGTTGGTAAGGAACTGGTTTGGTTGCTCGACTTAAAGCAGGTCTTTTGTTAGGGCTTTGAATTTCCAGATCTCCCCAGCCTTCTAGAGCCTTGGAGTTCAGTAGAAGAACAAGAAGACTCAGTGGGACTGTATCACATAGAGCGTTCATCCAATGGGTCACTGAACAGCTCCACAAGAAAGTATAATAAAGGCTACAACTTCAGCATCTCCCAAAGTGAACGCATCCTCCTGCCCCAGATCCACTTTTCTCCCACAGCATTTTTATCATGTGCTCAGATGGACTATCTCAGAGTCATTGACCTTTTCTTTACCTTACCTTCTTGCCCAATATGGCAGGAAATCTGGTGGGATATACTATGATTTAGATCTGAAATGCCCCCCGAAACTCACGGGGCTGTTGAAACATGATTGGATTGTGGGGGCGCTATACTCATCAGTGGATTGATCCACTGTTCCGTTTGTAGCTGTCCTGCTGTTAGGAAATGGGGCCCCGGAAGAAGCAGGCCTCTGAAGCCGTGGCCTGGGAAGGGATAGCTCCCTCCCCAGCTTCTTCCTTCTCTCTCTACTTCCTGGCCACCATGATGTGACCAGCTTTCCTCTTCCTAGGCCCTCTCACCATGTTCCTGCATTAGAGCCAACCAAGCATGGATTGAACTGTGAGCTGAAATAAACTTTCTTTAAATTGTGGGTACTGGGCATTGTGTCCCAGCAGTGAGAAAGTAAGACACTGTACCTTTCAAACTTCCAAGATCCATTTTCTTCTCGGCATTCCAATTGCTGCTACAATGAGCTCCTGAAAACAGCCCCCACTGTTCCCTCATTCCCCACACCCTGATCTTAGATTGCCAGTTCTCAGCAGCCAGAGTGGGCCTGTCAGTCACCCCTTGAAACCCAACCATGTTGCCCTCATCTCACTGGCTAGATCCTCACAACCTCAGAGCCAGGTGACATGTGATGTTTCCTCTCTCACTTCAT